GGCATGCCCAAAACCCAAATAGTTAATAAGAAGAGCTGATTTATATAAGAATTGGATAGCAGGTTCTGATAATAGAACAGGTCACTTTGTTGTAAAGAATAACTTGTATTTGATTCCGTTATAACATTTAATAACTGGGAAGTATTTCTATATTTTTTTAAAATTCGCCAAGCTAAACTAAATTGATTTTATTGATTTTGCATAATCTAACAAAAAAATTTAATATAAAATCAAAAAAAAAATTTTTAAGATCAAAAAAAAAAAACTATTATAAGAACAAAAAAAAAAAAATCTTTATAAGATTAAAAAAAAAAAAAAAGATAACCCTCTGTTGATTCTTGAAAATTTACAGCTTCCAACCAAACTTTTCAGCTGCATCTAACCAATTTCTTTGACACATTAATGCAGCTATCATATTTGCATCCAACAAAGCACAGCTATCATCAATAATATGACCTGCGCAACTAAACATCTGTTCAGATGTAACGCTTGTTGCAGGTATAGCGAGAAAGTCTCTAACCATTGCTGACAAATTAGGAAACCGACTCTTATTATTTTTCCACTATTTAAGTACATTAGTGGTTTTTGAAGATATCGGCTCACCCAAATACCGCTTTACTTCACAAAGCGAATCTTTTTCAGTAATCTGAGTTTGCCTTGCTGCATATTCAAAAACATTATCTGCGTGATTTTTAAATATTAATACATCATTTTTGGTATTGATCATCTCTTGATCAATGGCTGGTGATAAGTAATATGTACGAAAATATATATATATCTTCAAATCTTAATATTAAAAATTTAACAAAAAAAATTAAATAAAATAAAACAAAATAAAAATTAAATAAATATTAATAAATATATACTTTTCTCGAATGTCTCATATTTTTTCATCAAGATCCCATAATTCTAGTTGTTCTTTTTCGCGATAATGATATAAAATAAATTGTATTTTATAATGGGGGTTAAGATGCTGTTATGCTCCCAATATTTATTAAATTTTCCAATCATAGCTTGGCTGATATCATGAACAAAACTATCTGAATGAGACTTCATACCCAAAAAATAGGTACAAATATTCCAAATTGAGGCAAGAGTACTATTGAGGGTCGGATATAAACTTGCAGATGCTTTTAAAGTATCTATTTTATTAATATATATTTTAATTAGTCAAATTAATATAAAAATTCATGAGTATTTTAATATAAAACATAGTATATAATAATTAAACCTGCAATAACAATTATCTAATTATATAAACTTCCAACTACTATACAATATTAAATTCTTATAATATATACAATCATAAAATGGCTTTAGAATACAACAAATAGATTTGGCATTTTTCCACTCTTTTTCATTAGGTATGTCGGAAAATGTTCTATCCCTGTCTTTCATTCTAGTAATTACATTCATGACTTCTAAAACTGATTGCAACATTAGGAACGTCAAGTTCTATCGAGTATCACAATCTAACAGAGGGATTATAGATTTCACAGATTCTGATTCACAAATATTCAGAAATATTTGGCACCGCCTTGGTGCTGTATGTATTGCTTTAATGCAATTACGAACCTAATAAATTTTAATATACTATATTAATTATTAGTGAATATTAAATAATATACTTCAACTACTATTTAATTTATTTACCTTTCCAATAACATCTAAAATTTTTTTTAACCCATCCTTAACTATAAGATTTAGAATGTGGGTAAAACAGCAGTTATGAAAAAGATCTTCATTGATATTTATAAATGAGTCTTGTGAGATACAATTGGCTAATTCGCAAATTGCAACATCATTTGAAGTAGCATTATCTAGGGTAATAGTTTGTAACTATAATAATAAAATCATAAAACATTATTTAACTATATTTTCTTAAAACAATATTTTATATATCTTCATTAATATTAAATTAATTAACAGCTTAACATATATAAATTACTTTAGTGGTAATAAACCATTCATCTATTTCAGTTTTAATACAGTTGGTGATATTAACACCAGTGTGTGGATAGGGAATCAATGGAAATGATAATAGAATAAATACAAGGTTCCAACCCTTATCAAGATAATATGCAGTAACTGATAAGTATCCAAGTTGTTGAAGTGATGTCCAAGCATCACAAGTTAGAGAAATTTTGCCTTCAGCATTTTGAAGGGTTTCTTTGATTAAAGTTTTTCTCTTATCATAAGCTTTTATGATATCTCATTTAATCATATTGGCACTAATACTAAAATTAGATAACAACCTATTAATAAGCTTACGAAAGCCTTAACCTTCTACAAATTGAAAACTTAATTCATCCCAGACAATCATATTACTTATGTCTTTTCAGGCCGAATCATTTGTATATAGTCTTTTTTTTGGAGAGTTAAATTTTAATTGTGTTTGACTATTTGATAAATTTTGAAATTTTAAACAAGCACCAAGATGGCACCATAGATAAGATGTACCACACTCTTTTTTGTGACTAAATAATCTATTACAATATTCACATTTAGCCTTTTGCTCATCCGTTAATAAGGTAAAATGTTTCCAAACGGCAGACATATGCCTTGATGATATAGAAGTTTCATTGGTAGCTTTGCTAGTGGTTTCATCAGCAATTTCACTAGGTACTCTATTGGGGATTTTATTTACATTCTTGCTAGTTGTAGTTTCATTGTTATGTACAAGAGACGTTGAGGTGAACTCATTAGAGTTTTTTATTTAATTAGTGTTGTCAAAATCGTACTCCATAGAATTATCCAGCTTTAACAAGCTTATTTTACTGTTAATATAGTATAAGTTTTTAAATATTTTTATTAAATAGAAATTTACAACACAACTATTCAAACTTACTGTAGCTTTTATGCTTGGCAGATAATTTAGTACTTGGCTTAAGTGCAGGTAATTTATTTAGTTTTTTTTTTTTTCTATATTTTTGGTTTGATTTTTTGCTTTTTTTAAAAAATTTCATAAAGAGAGCTCTAATAAAAGAGTATTTAAGAAGAAAGCCACTGGTAAGTTATGCACTAGCAATTCAGCAACTTAGTAATTAGCATTAATACACAATAAGCTGTTAAAAATTTTAGAATGTAAGAAAAAAAAGATGTTGATTGATCGCCTTATATAGATGTAAATGATAATCACATGTCATGATTCTATTGGACATATCAAAAGTAATGGGTACCCATAAGCCCAAGGGTAGTGTATATATTACCCTAGCCCTACCCATTATTGTGAGGGCTTAAAATTCCAAGCCCTTACCCTTACTGTAGGGTTTAAAATCAATACCCTAGTCCAGCCCTTGTAGGGCTTACCCACGGATATCCGCGGGTATACTAGGCCCATGCGGAGGCCTAGTAATCTGTAACAATTTTGACAACCAATTTTTGACTTATACCCAGGTATCTAAGTATGATGCTATCATGCTTCTGTACTCGGAAAAACATAATAAAACATATTCATATCTATATAATATATCCCCCACATGTGTACCCGGAGTACTAAAATAGGTTAGGAAAATACCCCGGGTACATATGTTAGGGAAATATGGTAGTACAAAGTATATAGTTAAAGGTTAAGTTAGTCTACATTGAGATTATTGTAATTTCTATTATAGTTACTAAAAAAAATTCTGTTATAAAACTTATTTACTATTCTAGTGATATCAGTATGTATTAAGAATGAGTTAATTTATAATAAAATTATTATGATTTCTGTCAAAAGTTGCTGTAAAATTCTAATTTGCTACTGTGATGTATATATTAAAGTTTAAGTTAGTTTGAATTAGGATTATTGCAATTTTTATTATGAGACACTATAAAAATTTTATATTGAAATTATTGTAATTTCTATTATAGTTACTAAAAAAAATTTTGTTACCAAACTTATTCACCATTCTAGCAATACCAGTATGTAGTTAAAAATAAGTTAATTTACAATAGAATTATTATAATTTCTGTTGAAAGTTGCTATAAAATTCTAATTTACTACTGTAATGTATATATTGAAAATTAAGTTAGTTTGAATTGGAATTATTGCAATTTCTATCATAAGACACTGTAAAAATTTTAATACTAATTTTACTTGCTATTCTGAAAATATACTTTATATAGTTAAAATAAAGTTAGTTTGTATTGAAGTTAGTACAAATTATATAGTTAAAAGTTAAGTATTTTCTATCATGAGTTACTAAAAAAAAATTTTGTTACAAAACTTACCCACTATGCTAGTAATACCAGTATATAGTTAAGATTTAGTCTACGTTGGAATTATCAAGATTTTTGTCTATAAAATTTCAGTACTGGGCTTATTTACTACTGTAATATAAATTATAAAGGCTAGTTAGTTTGCATTGAAATTATACCAATTTTTATTATAAGTCACTAGCCTTATTTGCTATTCCAATAATAGTTAAAGTGAAGTTAGTTTTGTATTAGAATTATTATCTACTCTAGTATTGAAATAATTATGAGTCTACATTAAAATTATTGTAATTTCTATTATTAAATACAATTGGCTACTAAACATGTAATTTATTTTTGTTATACAACTATTCAAATAAAGGTATATATAACAGATATGGCTTTAGATAACTGATAACAATTTAATTGATTATTTATATTGTAAATTTAAATATTATTGTTATATAACTATTGTAGGGTGTAGGTCATGAAAATTAGCTGATAAGATATAGTTAGAGTAAAAAGTAGATGTAAAAGAATTTGATGAATTTGTATTGTAATTTAATAATATTAATAAATTTGTATTGTAATGTAATAATATTGAAAAATTAGTATTATAATTAGCAAAGTCTTTTAAAGTATGTTGTAAGTTATTTGATAAATATGATGTAAATACAGATATTTAAATGAGTTAAAAAAGAAAAGAAATAGAAGTTGTTGCAGAAGGGAGTGTAGTTTGTAAATATGATTTAAAAAGGACATATTTAAACCAGTAAGATAAGTTTTAAAAGTGGGTGATAAAGTAATTTGTAAGTAAACAAGTTTTATTAGATAAATAAATATGTACTTTTTGATAATTGCTATCTTTGTTTTAGTATTAAGAATAGAAATTTTGATATAGTAAGATAAATAGTATGAAAAAAAGTTATTTGAAATATATTGTAGAAAAGATTAAATAGTTTGTGAATGTTCAAGAGAAGGTAATTTGTAATAGAAAAGAAATTTATTATAATATATTAGAGGATCTATAGTTCTAAGTTGTTTTGTTATTTGAGTAATTGTTTTAATTAAGGAGGAATCTGATATTTGTAGAAAAAAATTATCAAGATTATCATCATTATCTGTATCAAGTTTTGAAATTGGGTTGTTTTTTGGTAATTCATTAGAGAGATTAAGAGATTAATTATTAATAGCATTTGATATAGTAAGTGCTACTTCAGAAAGAAATTATGGTATGATATCTGAAGTAGGTGAGATAATATTTTCTGCAATGGTTACCTTGCACAGCTCCACAAGGATCAAAGATCACCTGGTTATTTATTAGAAGACTGGCATTATTTGAACCTTCTGGGTACTATCAAAGAATACTGTAAATATATATATATATATATATATTTTAATACAAATTTTTTCACATTAAGATAAGTATTAGGGTTAGGATTAGAATATAGAACATTTTTACTTAGCCAGTTTTGAGAAACACATATGGGGTGAGTTAGTAGAAATGCACCATGTTTTTTTTAATAAAATTTTTTTGAATCTTCAAACAAAAATAAATCAGTAAAAACTTAACCAAATTTAGTAAAAATTTTTTTAAATAAATTTTACAAGTTTTTGAATTGGTTTAAAAAAATTTTTACTTAATTTAATTAAGTTGTTAAATTATTCTTGTTTAAAGTTTCAAAAAAATTTACTTAGAAAAAATATGGTGCGTTTCTACTGACTCACCCCCATATATAGGTGTAAACCACCATAGTAAAATCCGAATATATACTGAAAAAAATTATTAAAAAAAATCAATAAAAAAAAATAATATTTTTATTTTTAAATGGTATTATTTATTTGATTGTTTTTTTATATCAGATATGTACAAAGCTATAGCTGTTAAAATCTACATTATATTATTAAAATTACCGTAGTATACTAACTAAAAAATCTAACATATTTTCATAAATAATTTGTTTGATAACAGGTATATATATACAGTATATATATAGTATTTTTGCAAATTGTATTTGCTAACGCTTTTTTTCTCAAGATGATTGGGTATCTGCGTCTAGACACAATTGTTTGCGAACAGCTTACGGTGAATTATTACATAAAAGATGTATATTCCGATTAACATGTTTGTAGTCCCGTTCTGGAATAAATAAACTAAATAAGTAATCTTTTATGAATTATTTATTTGGAATTTTTCTTAGTTAATGTCCATGATTGATAATTCACCACGATGATTTAGATATTACATGCTAAGAAAATTTGGAGAAACAGCAAATATATTTACAATATATGTATAAACATCATTAATTGGAAATGCTAGATTTCTTAGTACATGTCCCAGAACAAAACTAATTATTAAAAGAAAGTCCAATAGATTTTCAATAAAACTCTTTTAGCCACATTCATCTTAAATAACAATTTTCTCGGGATTTAATATCTTCTTCGATTGTCACGCTTATCATTTCTTTTTCCACTCATTGGTGCGAGTGGCATTGAAGAAGCCAAATCATTGATATGTTCCACAGAACGATTTAATTTGATGGGTGGGCGGGGAGGTACGGTAGCAGCGAGACTTTCGATGCCCCGTTCAATATTTCTCTTCTTTGTTGAAGGAACTGGTAATTCCGGTTCATCATCTCGGTCTCTTTCATCACGATCTCTTTTCTTGTTGCTTAAAAATCTTTGCGTTGCCATGATTTCTCGATCATCTCGTGGTCTGCGAATAACAGGATCTTCAATATGTCGTCTTCTACCATTATCATTTCGATGACGATCACGTTCACTTTCGCGTTCTCGCCTATCTTCACGATCACCTCTTTCCATCTCACGCGATCTTTCTCGCTCTTTTTCTTTGCCTTTGTCACGTCGTTCTTCGCGCCTTTCATCACGTTTTTCTCGTTCTTTCTCCTTAATTTTTTCTTCACGATCTCGTAAACGAGGATGGTGATCAATTCTTTTATTCCGATCATCAATGGGCAGCCTTTCTTTATTACGAATCATCAATTCCTTTTTATCATCACTACCACTTCGAGGGATTTCTTGCTTGCGATCTCTTTCTCGTCCTCGTTCTTTTTCACGGTCATAATGATCCAATTTTTTAACTGCTTCCTTGTCTCGATCGTGATAATCGTTTTTCTTTATTTCTTTTTCACGTTCAAATTGAGCATCTTTTCTATCTTTGATACGATCCCTCTCTCGGTCCCTATCACGGTCTTTTTTATTAAAAGGCTTGTCAGGCAATGGATGTATTTGCCTTCGTGGACTATTAGTTCTAACAGTTGAATGAGAGGGTGATAAGTTATCACCTCTCACATTTGATAAAGGACTTGATCGTGAGGCTTCTAAAACTTGAGTTGTCCTTTGTGAAGGAGATGATGGACCATTTTTTTCGGTTCTCTCGTCATGTTTCACCGATCTTTCATCATTTGGTATTGAATCCGTGGCGTTGGAGCTTTTTGGCTTTTGAAATGATCGAGTAGACACCCAAAATTGTTGCCTCCCCTTTAATACAGCAGAATAACTTATAGTCAAAGTTAAAATGTCGGGATTTCCACTTTTAACAATTTTATCAATATTGTCTTGAAGTTTCTTTCCGAAGGTATCAATAGCCGGGAAATATAACACAATGTCGTTAAGGACAATAATAGAGTTCCTAACTGAAAAGTATTCCATAGATTGAAGGCCTTGTTCAAAAGCCTTAAGAAGTTTTGAGTGCCACTTATAATATACACGTCTAAAATCTTCATATTGGAGTAGATCAGTTTCGGAAATGCTGGTCGGCTGGCGATTATGTGCGGACCATTTCATTTGGAATCCTGGAATCCCCGATCCTTTACCTTTATGTTCATATTCTTGTGGATTTTTGTGCAATTTACTAAGGGATGCCAAAATTGTTTGAAGAAAAGCACCGTAGTTCCGTGCCTCAGATTCAGAACAAGTAAAGATCAATGGTTGCACTTGGTCTGCAAAGATCCGATCATATAATGTGAGCGTTGAGAAGTTAGCGGTGCCAATTTCATGCATAGTTTCAATGAATTTAGCACAAAATACGGCATTGTCAGCACTTGTAATCAACCGAGGGAAAAGACAATACTGCCAAAATTGTGTTATTATATCTTGGCGATTAGTGAATTGTCCGGAAAACCAATGATCTTTCTCGATCTTTAATCGGTTCTTAACATTTTTTACGTGTTGTTCATGTGTTCGCCTCTCTTCGTCAATTTGACGAGCGATATCAAGAATTTTGGATTTATCACGAACCTTATCGTCATTGGCAGAATTTAGCAGATCATTTTTAGCCTTACGATATTCCTCTTGCGGGAATTCTAGGTCGTATAAAGACAATTGCCAAAAAGTAATAAAGAAATGTGGACTGATCCCATTCCACACATAGGCCGGTAGAATGGGCTTAACTTGATCAATTATAGATAATAAGGAGGGCTGCCAAATTATCGCTGACTCATTGTCTACATTCATTGAATCGTTTGCATCGGTATGTTGCTTCAATTTGTAATTCATTATTGGACGTAGCATCATAAAAGTATATTCCATTTGTAATTTGTATGTTTTAGTCAATTTTTCAATATCAGGAACAATTGCAGTATATTCATCCATGCCTATAGTCATTGCTAAAAAGTCTACATATTGGATGTAAGTGTTGCGACAAAGATCCATTTGATGAACAAAGGATTTAAGACCTGCTGATTCTTCCACCATACCAAATGCTTCATACACAATGCTTTGTGTCAGTTGAGCAATCAGTATAGCAATCTTCATGGCAAATCCTTCCTCAATAAGAATTTGACCCAGCCTCAAAGAATTACGGCGAACATTTTTTTGATTCCGATTAAATAATTTAATATTCCGTAGATGTTCTCCAGTACCCATAAGGATCACATCTAAATTTGAAGGAATTGCCTCGTATTTAATTCCAGACATTGCAGTAATTAGCTGTGAAAGAACATATAAATCCACGGAGCTGCGATCTTTGAGCTTGCAGACAATGAATTGAAGAATGCTTGCGAGGTTCATTTTATCGTATTTCCTACACATATTTCCACAAAAATCTGACAAGTGCTTAAGCCAATCACTAATATTGACACCATCTTCTTTTAATCTTTTCCTGTCACAAGCAAATATCTCTAGCATCTGATAAGTCAAAATATCATATTCAAGAGTTGTAAAGTATTTACAGGCCTCAACAAATGAAGTCATCATATTATCGTATGCTTGAATTTGCTTTAGAATAATTTCAAAAACAACAGTCGGATTTGCATGAGAAATTTTGGCGAGATCACGACCTTTCACCCGACAATTTTCTTCAGTGATCTTCTTTAAAATATCTTTAGTAATATATGAAACCTTCTTCTGCTGTTCTCTTAATAACCAGTGAGTACTGTAAATTAACTTCCATTCGGCATATATTTTGTATCTTGTTTCGTATGTGAATAATTTAAGAATGTTCCATAACTCATCTATCACACCACAAGTAGTATCTGGCATTGCTATGCTTGGTAAAATTACCGTTAGGAGTATTTCGATCCAACCATTTTGGATAATTTTGCGATCTGGAGCATTTTTGGATTCTTTTAGATGGTGAAATGCAATACGCATTAGTTTGGTGAGTAATACAAGATCTTTAGAGAGCCATGGACCGACAAAATGCAATAATTGACGTCCTTTTTCATTTATGAGATCCATATAGGAATGAAAAATGGGTATTCCTTCACTCCAATGTTTATACCAAGAACCAAAAAACGTCGGAGTCGGAAAATACTTTATTAATCGAGGGGCGATTGTAATATAAACTTCGTGGACTGCCACATTAATTATCTCTCGTAAACATTTGGCGACGGACTCTCCAATATCAGGAAGATGATGCAATATGTAACGTGCATGATAAATGTCGCCAATTTCAAGAAAAGCGCATGCAATGCCGTTTATATGTTCGTATGGATCATTATTATCAGGCTCCTTAAGAATGTGTGGATATAGATCAGCAATTTTCACGATCTCGTTATGAACTAATATGGCTGAAGCAATGTGCAATGATTGAATTACATCCGGCATCGTATCGGAACCTTTATAACGGGAAAACTTAGTGCCAAGCAAATGAGCACATGTTGGGTTACCCTTATCATTCAACCACTCATCCAGAATATCGTAGTTAGAACTACATTTATCCACATCAACAGGATCTGGTAGCCAAGGAGAATTTTTTAAAAGTCGTATAAAAAATTCATAATGATCTTTTACATTTGCAATAAATACATCAAGAATCAAGTCGAGAACACGATTAGGATCCAAGTTAAAGAACCCTTTTATATATAAATTAATTAAATTATTAGCTAAATTATATTACTAGAACAAAAAAATTTCAGATAACTATAATAACTTTACCTATTAATGTCTGTATAGTTTCCAAGAGACTTTGCACACGCATATTCCGAGACTTTTCATCTTCATTTTTATACATGGCGTCATAACTCATGGTTAATTCGCACATTAACTTTGAATATCCTTCTGATTCTTCTCGTGCAAGGTTATACTTTTGTTGCTTATATAACAATGCCGTATTTATCCTTACACATCGTCGGCCAAAAGTTTTTTCTTCTACAATTCCAGCATTTTCTAGTAGAGTGACATCTAACTTGGTCTTCATGCTTTTGGTATCAACGATGTTATTTGTCTTTAAAAAGAATAAAAGTTGTTAGTAGTTGCCAAAATTTTACAAATACATGAATTCTTATGGACATTACATGACAAATTCCTATTTAAATAACCCAAAACCTCAAAATTAAAGAAAGAATTTCAAGTATGTGACGTCATGTACTTGGAAATCCATTTAAACTTTCTAACAACAAGCTTCTCTATTCAAAGATTCCAAGCGCAAAACTTCGAGATAAACGTTGAAAGCATTTCAAGCCTATTACGTCACGTAATTGATAAATCCAAATTAAATAGATATAGAACCTAATCACAAGCTTTGTATATTTGTATAAACGGATGTAAATATCGGCTCAAAAGCTCGATTACAAAAAATCAAGTGTCATACGAATTATATTTTACTTCATTAATACTTACATTAAGATATTTAACAATGCTGCTTAAGTTTCGACGACGGTCACTTTCAATCGTCTTATCATTAGCACCGTCAATTATTGTAGTATCGATGTACCATATTGCATCAAGGAGGTATTGTATAAAAGTTTCATGGTCATACTCGCCATTTTGAGGTTTTTCGAGTATAGGTGCAATAGTTGCTATTGTTTTGTTGCCTACAACAACATCAGTAAAGGCTTCTAATAGATCGCTTTCCATAGTAAGAGCGAGAAAAAAGAAATAATTTGTTTAAATTGCGTAAATTGCGTTAACAGTTAATACCGGATACGTAAAATGATGGTATGATATATTATGTAATTAACATTAGTATATCAGTCACACGATTTCGTCACAGCTAAAACTTATGGCAAATTACGCAAATTGACGAAATTACATTTTAGTCAAAGCACGCAACAATTTCTATGAATTAAATGGCATTAATACCACATTCTTGAAAATTTCTTATTATATAGAAAATGGGTTTAATAGACGCATTTTTTGACAAAATATGTTGCTATCGCTATATTATAACATGAAAATTAAAAGCAATATTGATATATTTAAGTGCTGCCGAATTAAAATCAGGAAATGAATATTTAAGTTTTCACTTAGCCCCGAAAAATTATAATATTACGTAATTGAATCACAAATACAACCTGTCGTCATGGTAAAAACTTGAATACAATATTCACTTCCAAGTTTTAATTTGGCATCATCCATACTTCGGGTTTTTATCGTTATTACTGTATTTATTTACTAGCCATATGTCAATGTCAGGATTTTAAGAGTAAGAAAACTAGAAAACCCAAAGTTTTATTTTCTTTTGGCAGCACTTATATAATAGTGTATACGTATACATATATATTTTTTGGTGTTAAAAGATAATAGTGTATATACAGTATATATGGGCGCTATTCAATAGAGATCTACTTTTTAACTTTTAAGGTTATGCTTTATTTAATGAGCCAATAAAAATTTTTTAGTCAAATTATGCTGGCTTAATAATTTTTTGAGTTTATATATAATCTTAACCAGGGACACGGAAATTATGTGATTTAGTGTGATTAAACTAAATCGCACTAAATCGCATAATTTTTTATTATTTATAT